TTGATCCCCAGTGATGAGAGCCTGCTTTCTAATGCTGCACCCTCATTCGCAAAGCATGAAGCAACATCCTAAAACCCAAAACTATTCCCGGCCATATGTTCATCCGAAAACCCTGCACCAAAACTGTCTCACCCCTCAACCCCTGGAACTTCTTCCTCAAATCACAACTCCAGCCTTTTGTAACAAGAAAGGGCGACAAACGCATTGAATGCTGGGCTGTTCATTTCATCTAGTTAGTGCGTGTATTCATCACCGTGCTTACTAACTAGCTATAGTTCCCATACATACTGTACTCTGGAGTTTAGATAATTTGTACTTCAAAACTGTTATGGAGTCCATATTACTTACCAGCAAACTCGAAACCACCCAAAGACCGGTCGCCCTACCTCTTGCAGCTCGCCAGTGTCTGCATTGGTGGTGAGTCTCTTTGCGTTACATTCCTCGGAGCCACGGAGTGATTGTGCCATGTGCGGTTGTTTTGACCCTTCAACGAAATCCGTCCTTCTGTGGAAAGGATGTGAACCATAGTTTTAAATTCCTAGTATGCCCCTTAATAACCCCTATAGTACTCCCCAAGAAGTTTAGGTTGCTGTTCATGTAGGGTTTTCTTGTTCATACCGCTACCGCGGGAAGGGAAGTGGTTTGGAGTCTTGACGTCGGTTCAGGGCTTCTGAATGAGCCTGGTTCAATTTGCAGGGCCAGTGTTGGGTGTTCAGGCGAGCTAGAATCTGAACTCCTGGCATCCCCCTCAATAACCCCTATAATACTCCCCTATATAACCCCCTAAACCCTAAACCCCAAACCCTAAACCTTCTATCATCCCCTAAATAACCCCCTAAACCCCAAACCCTGAACCTCACATAATCCCCTACACAACTCCCTAAACCCCAAACCCTAAACCTTCTATCATCCTCTGTATAACCCCTTTTCAGAATTCAGATTATGGCTCATGTGAACGCAGGTAAGCCTACGGGCTTGGCTCCGATCCCCAACGCACAGCGGGTTTAGGGCTTAAGGTTTAGGGTTTAGGGCTTAGAAATGTTTAGGGCTTAGGGGTTTTGGGTTTTGGGTTTAGGGTTTAGGGCTCAACGTCTAGAGTTGGGGGTTTAGGGTGCAGAGGTTTCGGGTGCAAGGTTTAGGGTCACATGGGAGGCTTCCAAAGCTGCGGATCCATGCGTTGACAGCCAGATCCTGTTCTCAGATATACAAAATCATTAACTTGTAAAACCTCCGCGTCAAACCTAACGAGGGCGACTCAGTCTTGCAAGAGAGCTGGCTATATTCTTAAGAGCCGCCCTATACAATCGCGTATAATACAAAAGGGTCCATCTACTTTTAAATTGCTTCCTTCCCTAGACCCCAGACCCTAAACACTACAATAGCTCCTTACCATCCCTTCATTCCCTATTCATGTAGACCCGCAATTAATAAACCCCCTCCCCTTGATAGGGATTATAATAGGGATCCTAAAATTGAGGCCCTTCAAGGGAGGGGATTTATTAATCATGCGTCTACATTACCTTAAACCCCAAACCCCAAAATAGTAGTTTCCATTTTCTTTTCCATGATCCCTATGTACCCCCTATATAACCCCCCTAGACCCTAAACCCTGAACCCTAAACCCTAAACCCTACATTAACAGTTAGCAAGTATTCCAGCCATTGACCTCACCTTATTGAGCTTTGACTCGGCAAGTTCAGGCTATAGCGCAATTTGAAGGCAAGTACATTACCGGGGTTTAGGGTTTATGGTTTAGGGTTACTAGTCAGCAGCCTGTCGCCACAGCTGTATGTTGTCAGCAAGAGTTGTTTGGGGCTCTCGTGCGGAGGTTGACTGTAAAGCTTGTTCTACCCGAGGCGTCTGTGTTTCTAGGAATTCTTGGTCTCCTGCGCCAACCATCAGTGACTTTGTTTTCGTAGGCTCCATGTCTTGCTTCCACACGGCAAAGAGATTCGAATTCAGTGTGACCTGCTTTGCTTCCAAATAACAATGTACACAACATGCTGCGCTGGACCCTTGCGAGCAGACCTGCCCTTGCAGGTTGGCCTTGTGGAGGTCATCAGCAAATCATTTGAACATGGGCCGGGCAAGCATTCACAAAGCACGTACGCTCTGATTTGCGGCTGCATGCTCACCGTGATTATGCAGTTGTATAATCCAGTCGGAATGCCCCAGGTCCGAGCTCACCTTGTATCTCCATGACTACACAACAGAGGAAACGGCATCAAAGAGCGCTTGCCAATGATACTTGAAAGGGCCTAGGTCCCAAAGAATATGCGTCACGATACGAAACTATCCTGCCTAGACGAAATGTAATCAACCCTTCTGATCTGTTGATGGCCCTAGCTTTGGCGGTAGCTCAAGCGAGATGTTACTCACGTGTGCTTGGGAGTCCAGACAGCTATTAAGTTCGTCACGCGACTTTCTGAGACTATTTAATCCCTAGACCCCAAACCGCAAACCCTATTCCCTGTATTGCCCTAAACCATTGCGATCTGGTGGACCCCTTAAAGGGATTCTGGGGTCTCGAAAAGGATTCGATACGGGCCCCGAGGAAGAGCGTCCACATGGAGGCTGCATTCAAAAAGCCAAAACCAACCGGCACAGCCTGAAAGAAGCATGCCAACATCACAGAAGGTGCTTTGACCGCCTTTTCAGCCCTACAAGGCTTCATAATTTGAACCACAAGAAATAGAGATGCAGATAAGAAGCGAGCAAGTGCTCCAGTGGCACTAAAGCGGAAGACCGTCCATTCAGAAGCTCGCCCTGTTTGGATTAGTGATTTGGGATTTGAATGTTCATGGTTTGGGGTTTCAGTGTTCAGGGTCTGGGGTGATTGCATTATCATGAAATGAGTTACAAGGACTTGCAAACATGCTTCAGTGCTGAAGTCTGTATCAGGTGGACTGACATTTGTTCCCCGAACTCGGGGCGGCGCATACACGCACAGAACTCATGGCCCACACTATAGATTTGCCATGACCCCATCAAAAGAGCTCCATCCTGTCTGCCGAAAGACGCATGCATTTGAGTTGAGGATTTCAGCGTCTGGGCTTGTTCGACTGATGCTTGCTAAAGTACAAGTCAACTGTTTTGTGTTGGTAAACCCTAAATTTTCATGGGACTCCTTGTCTCACGCCGAAGGTTGAGGTTTAAGTCTTGTGTTCCACTAGAGGGGCCCTAGGTCAGGCTGCTACTCACCAAACTAAACCTTTGTTCAGCAGGGAACAACCCAGGCTTGAAATTGCAAAAAGAGCTCTGATGTAGACGAAACCCGAAGTATCAAAAATTCAAATAGGGCTTGCGGTTGGGGATATCAGTCTCAAACAACTACGTACCCTACATCTTAAACGCTATGAGCTATGAAGTTCGAAAACACCATGGATCCTGCCTTGTGGTTCATGTTGAACTCCGTCTTGGCCATGTACCCGCTAGGCCAGATGAACCTTACCCCGCTTCGAAAGCTCAAAAGGACAAAACTCAATGGTGAAGGATTTCGGGCTTCGGGGTGTACAAGAGCTCGAAAGCAAAACTTCAGAATGACACGAAATATCACAACACACTGATTTGTTGGAATTATGTACTCGTCTCGGGGTCCCCAGAAAGAGGCTCCTACTAACAGGGGTGTGGAGTTTGGAGTTTGGAGGGACGCTGTTCTTGACCCCATATCCCCATTCAACCACCGCCACCACCACCACACCCACCACCTCCACCACCGGTCAAAAGACGAGAGTGGCAGGACGAATTAGAGTGTCACTGCTTTGGCAACGAATCTCCAGTAGAGGGCTTAGGACGCGGATTCATGGAATGAATCGCATGGGGACAGACTGAGAAGTTTTCTGTATCACACGTGGCGAAAACGAAAAGAGGCACCACACCAACGGCACGCCCGTACATACACCTGAAGCCGCGAAACACAACACCGGGTACAAGCAGTAGTCAGACTCTCCAGTGCTACTAGACCTGCTTCGAAAGTGAGCAAGTAGCAAAATGGGCGGGGGGGGATCTATGGGGACTGTAGCAAGGTTCATAAGGAAGACAACAACAGCGGCTACTAGCCGTCCCTAACGTCCACGTACCGTGTTGGAGGTGATTATCCCACCTTCCCTGTGGCAACCTCCTAATCTCATTAACACCATAACACCACTGTCTTGCCATTCCAACCACCCTCCAAAGCGAGCACAAACATCATCGTTGCTGCAGGAGCAGCAACAGCAACAGCCATGGTGGTTGGGGTATCAGTGAGGCTAGTACTACCACTACCACCCACAATAAAGACGCAAGATACAGTGTAGGTGGGCAGGCACAAGGCTGACGAAAATCAGAGTCGTTGACTCAATTCACAAAATCTCCTGAAGCTATGGCAACTTCGGCTGTGCTGTTCAAGGGTGTGAGATGTGGATATCAAAGCCCTAAACCTTACCTTCTAAACCCTAAACCGACCGCGGAACGATTCAGAAAGATCCAGGATGGACCGGTCCCAGACGAGTCCAGAACAACTGGTGCCTATGCCGCTCAGGGCTTTGGATTTAGGGTATAGGTTCGGAATTTGAGGAACAAGCCAAGATGCGGCAGTCTCAAAACCTCCAGATGAACCAGGGCCAAGGTGTAAGTCGGATGGCAATAACGTTATTCCAGACGAGCTCAAAAAGAGATCAGTCTTCATGTCGTTGTTCATGTGCTTTTCCATGTGTTTCGGCATTTCTGGGGTGATATCCCTGAATATCCCTTAAAAAACTGAATCCCAGTATTGGGAAGACATTGATATTTTGTTGGAACCCCCTTGCTTCAGCTCAATGTGTAGGCGTCAAGGCAACGATGAAAGTCTTCAATATCCCATCGTGCTCTCACTTGAGGGATGTGGGAGGCCCCCGTCTCATTGGGAAAGCACTTCATATTTGAGGTACAAGAATGGGACCTCAGTTTTGCAAGCTAGGCCATGCCCAAGGCACCAAACCTGCCTTAAAATGAAATCCCAAACCATCATGCAGCCGAGTTGCACTTCTCCCCAAAGAGTCGCATGCCCACGCCTCCACTTGGCTTCAAGCTCGAAGCTGGGAGAGTAGGCATTTCCATTGTCGTGAAATCGAAGTTCTTATTGGTAGTAGCAGCAGCAATGTTCCCATGATTATTCGTGATTCTCTTGTTGGTTACTACGATTGCCGCCATGACCATCTCTCTTGCTTCGGCTCCCACTTTGACTGCTTCTGCTGCTGCTTCTGCTCCTGCCACTGGTACTGCTGCTGATATTGCGACAGCTACAGCTACAGCTGCTGCTACTACTACCACTGCCACCACCGCCACAACCACCAGGAAGAACAACAGCTGCAACAAACCGAGGCGAAGACCATGATTACCACAAGAAGGGCACGCAAAGGAGCAGCAGCCGCAGCAGCGCAGATTGCAACAATGGCTAAACACGAAAACACTAAGTCTTGATGAATCTGTTTAGACGTTCTCTCCCCCAAAAGCCACCAACCATCACAAGACACATTTGAGGCATGCACCCTTATTGGCCGACCAAGACCAAGACATACCCTTTCAACACAGGGAAGGTCAGGGAAACCATATATCCCTGAACACTATACCCTAAACCCGTAAACCCTAAACCCCTAAACCCCTGGACCCTAAACCCCTAAACCCTAAACCCCCTGAGCTTTCAGGAAGGCTGGCTCTCAGACAAGGGCCCAGGATTGTGGGCAAAATGAGCTGTACCCTTATAGGGCGTCCCTTTAATCTGGACTCTAGTAGTATTATATTGGGGTGTATAGCTGTCCCCCTATTTTGGGAAACTACCATGCGAAGGTGACACTAGTTCTTGGAGTTGGGGCTCAAGCTGAGGCTTGCCTCTTGTTACCCCAGGTTCCATACCCTGGCGTCATGCTACCCTACCAAGGCCAGGGGAAATGAAGTCCAGTTTGTACCGGCCATATGTAGGAAATACTGCCCAGCTTGTGCGTCCAACACCCTGTGGGCCCGCATCGCTGGCTTAGGGTTTCGGGTTCGGGGTTTAGGGATTAGGGTAGCTGAAAGTCTTGAATTCTGATCATGCAGATTTTCTACATATGCCTTGGAATAGGATGTTGCAAAATATGCTGACAGGCTTGCCGCAGTTGGAATTCCAACAAACTTGCCATGCCTAAGCAAACCTTGCATACTCAACATATTTAAAGACCTCGTTTCCAATAGCAGGGGCCTAGCCCACTGAAACCAGTCTGCCGACACATTAAGGACGACCAATTTGTCAGAGCTACTTGGAAATGGATTACATTGAAAAAATTTTGGGATAATGGAAAGAAAATGAAAATACTGTAGTAAAAGAGAGTATATTTATTGCGGCTATATTCGGATACTGGAAATTTAACTGGAAACTACTATTTAGGGATTTTGCGAGCATCAAAACCCTTGCAGGGAAGCAGCTCTGGGGCTCCGGGGGAAGCAAATGCGAAAACCACTTTGAGTAAAACGCTTCAAGAAGCTCTACCTATCCTGCCAAGGCTTTCGCGTTTCCGCGGACTCAGGATTTAGGGTTTAGGGTCAACACAACAAACCCAAAAACTGCCCTGTCACATAAGGTGCAATGCTTGCTTTGGGAGGGCGAACCCTAAATCCTAGAGTCTTTCAGAACAGCTAAAACCAAAGCCTAGACCGCCACCTGCCTGTTAGGCATGCAGAGTGCAGGAAGGAAACCGAAAAGGGAAGCTAACATGCTTGATATTTTTCACTACCACTAGTACACGTCCTAATTTAAGTACTACTCTCTGTAGGTTTCTGCTCTACCGACCTGAAAGGGCTCCAAAATCTCAACAAGGGAAGGCAGAATTATCCTGGAGGAGGAGGAGGAGTCGGCACGCGGGTGTACCCGCTGCCTAACTACCGCGTCCCCCGCCAGCATCTCAGGGGGGCTCCGCAGCCGTCATCGCCCCCTCCGCGACGGGTTCCAGCGGAGTGCTAGAATAGTGCAGCCAAGATGCATAAAGACACACAAAGGACGACAAACAACAACGGAAAAGACAAGGACGCGAACTGCCCTTACCTGCCCAAAAAACCACACCAGAATCCCCAACCCCCAC